ATGTCAAACAAATAGAAACACATTTTTTTGGTATTTTTAAAATTATTAGAACAATTAAAAATAAAATCAAAAAGGAAATAGAACAAGAATAAAATAAAAAGAAGAAATAAGCAAAGGGGTGCAAGAGTAAAACTGAAATGAACTGGGTTTATGCTTCAACGCATTTATGGGCCATGAAAGGAGGGTATGGAAAGAACATGAACACAAGGCCCAAACCAAGACAAATCAGGAATCAAACAAAAATGGCTCCCAAATTGAAATGCACCATTTCACTAATACACGTCACCATCCAGATCACCAAAATCAACGCCATGCATGCAAGTCAAACAAACACATCAATAAAACACATCACCACACACGTGGGACACCAAAACCCTACTCCGGTCGTCTCCTCAAGCCATCCTCCCCGGAGAAGATTGTAAAATGCCATAAAAATGCAAACCTAATATATCATTTTGAAGAGGAACTCACATAGAACACGAATATGGTCATGGAAATTCAAAAAGGTGCCTAAAACTAGATGAAATCAGTGCTCAAAGTTTTGTGTCATAAACTGAAAATGAACCAAACCAAGACAAGCCACGTTCAAAGATTGCCTCCACCATGGAATTGTTAGAACACAGATTGGTTCTTTGTTATATCTTTATGTTTTGATGATAACACTAATGAAATTTTGTATTAAGAAATTATATACTCTAAATTTGTTCAAGTATTTTTGTTGCAGATATTAAATTTAATATTCTTCTAAAAGCAAAAATGAATCTGAACATTGTACTACGCAAGGCTCTGAGCGTCAGAAACATCTAGTTAGAAGACTCTGAGCGCTGCCTATAGAAGAATCTGAAGAAGAAGCTACAGAAGCATCTGAAGCATAGACTGAAGACTTTGTATGAAGAGTTTCAAGCACTGTTTTTTTCAGAAGACTCTGATAGTACTGTTCGCTGCAAGTATTGAGGATCTGATCTCCAAACTCTGCTCTAATTGATTTCACGCTGAAGCACACTTGCTGCAATACTCTGATACAGCAAAACTCTGATAACATCAAGACTCTGATCACTCAAGGCTCTGATGTTGATTGCTATGAAATAGAAGCTTGTTGAAGAAGATTATTCAAAGTTATATTCATAGGCATATTCCAAACGACTCTTTCCTCTTTTATGCTAGACACAAGAACTCAGGCAAAAAGGATTTCTCTGAACGTTCTACTTCTAGGAAAGGTCAAGTCATATGAAGACAAAAGGCTACAACTACTTTGCAGTACACGGTCTTCAAGCTTGCAACGCCTTGGACTTCTTTGTTTATAAAAGCAAGCCTTCAACAACTTTCTATAGTTGAAGTATTTTGATGAAAATTGACAAAACTATTGAAAACTCTCTCAAAGCTCTCATACAAATTATAATTCTTTGTTGAATAGTTTCATACGTTCTTAATCTTAAGTGTATAAATCACAGTTGTGATATAGCTTTCATAGAAGCATTTTAAACACTTGTTTAGTTTACATTTGATTGTAAAAGTTCCTTAAGAAGACCAAGGTGTGGTCAGTAGTTCTTGAGAAGACTAAGACAGTTGTTCTTAGTGGTTGACATTGTAATCTGTTTGATTATAGTGGATTAAGTCATTATGGAGAAAGGCAAATCACTCTTGATAGGGTGGACTGAATTAGTTGAGTTCAACGAACCAGGATAAAAATCATTGTGTTTTTTTTTTTGCCATAATATTTTCTAAACCCTTATTCAACCCCCTCCCCCCCTTATAAGTGTTGTCTCACCTTCAGGAATGACTTCAGATGCACCAATATAAGCTTAAACAAGTGCCTAACATGAGAGATTCGAAAGTGGAAAAATATACCTAACGGAGCTACTCTGTTGGTCCTTCAAACCTTGCTTGAGCTTCCAAAAAAGATCACCAATGGACTTCTGAGCTTTTTCTGAGCAAGATGGAAGCAATAGATGGAAGAAGTCCCTTATGAAATGACTAATTCGAAGAGAGAGAAAAATGGAGCAAACTTGAACTATTCTAACCTTCTCTTGCAACAAATGACTCCTCTCCCTCATTCTAGGGTTTGCATTGCTTTTATATGTGATGGATTGGTTGATTTTTGAAGTCCATATTAAAAGAAATGGCTGATTTGAAAACTTGACCGAAAAGCCACTTAAAATGGTCACACGGGTTTGGCACCCTCTTAGCATCATTGTGGGTCATCATTTAGCATAAATGAGGGTGAGGAAATGAAATGTAATGGTTGTTGTGAATGAGAATGAGCATGTGATATATTTTGAGTCGATCCCCTAAATGGTAAAAAAATTGAATTTTCACTTGTGTGATGGTATGTTGTTTGACCTCTTTAGGTAACATTTGGGTGGCATGAAATGTTGGTATCAAATATAGAATATGGTTGAGTGATAAAAGTAACTTGAACACTAAGTCTTCTCATGATGCATAAGCACACATATGCTTTCATGATGTAATAACTTGAAAAAATCCTCACTCAAATGGGGTAAATGTTTTAATAAAATTGAAGGCAATACCATAAGGAGCAACTTTTATGTTGGAAACAAATTGAGTTGAGGCTTGGAGAATCAAGAAAATTGATCATGAAAGAAGTTGTTCAAAACTAACTCATGAAAATGACTACATTTCTCAATTTTGGACCATGATTTGTAAGCACCATAACTTTAGCTCTATATATCCAATGGAGGGTATCTTATAATGGATGGAAAGCTTGAAGAAATATCTTCAACTTTCATTTTCAAAGGAAATTTATTTGGACCCAAGAACTTGATGAAAAATCCCTTGGAAGATTGGTACATAAATCTACGTAGAAACTTGTCAAATTTGACATCTTTGACACCCTAACTTGGGAGCATCATAACTTGAGTTATACATATCCAATGGAGGAGTTCAAGTTCTCAAAAGAAATCTTGGAGGATTTTCTACAACTTTCATTTTGGAGGAAAATTCATTTGAAACTTGTATCACCGTGAAAGATGGGCTTGAAAACATGTACCTCAAGCTGAATTTTTATACTTAGAAAAAAATCTAAGTGTTGAAATCACAAAACTTTGATTTTCCCAACTTTAGCTCTTCATATCTCTCAATCTATGAATCTTTTGGACTTTATCTCTTCTACAAACTTGTAGTTAATGATGTTCTCTTTAATTTGATAACAAGTTTTCTCCAATTGGATCAAGGACGAGAAAGTTATGGATGTTTCAAAATGGCTAGAATTTGGGTTTTCCACACTTAGAAAATATTTCAACAAAATCCTAATTCAACCAATCTCCTTATTTTGTGTTTCTCTTTGATTCTTTTTGTTCCAAGCACATGAAAACACTTGAGAAGGCATAGCATGCCCTTGATTGACCTTGAAATCCAAGATTTTGACCTTATGGAGGCACAATTGACTTTTCTTGATCAGATGAAACCTTAACACTCTTTCCATTGATTAAAGATCATGTCATGACTTGTGATGATACATAATACATGTAGAGAATCCTTAAGATGTGTATTAAGCCATATGACCAAGTCTTGCCCAAGAAGCTAGCAACAAATGCCTTTTGACCAAAACCCTACTCTAGTTGTCCACAAGATATGAGGACATGATCAATGCTTTTAATCTTGATTCAAATAATTGTGAGACATGCCTTAATGATGAGAGGACCTTAGGGCTTGAGAATACCACAAGGTTGAGAGTAAACTCTTGCTTTAGCTTTGAGGATGATACTCTTCCCCTTGAGAACTAACCAAGAAACCTTGATCTCCTGCCTAGAATCAATGTTATGCACAAATGATGATGCAAATGAAATGTAACATAAGGCAAAAGATTAAGAAAGAGATAAGGCAAATTTTAGGGTGTTACACAACCTTAGTCCATTCTTCTTCAACTGTTCCAGCTCTACGGTTATCCATAAACAAGATAGAAAGGAAAGCCCTAATGGATTGATCAGGAAAAGTTAGAGAGAAAATGTCTTAATATTGTTGTTTAACTTTTATTTTCTACATTTATTACTATTTCAACTTAAATTTACTATTATTCAAAAGTTTTTTTTTCTTTTTTCAACTTTTAATTTTTATGACAGTTCACAAACAAATGTGCGTCCAAAACCGTATCTCACCCAAAAACACACCTCTTAGACACATATTTATTACTAGTTTACATTAAGACAAATACAAAAAGAAAAATAGCCTTTCAAACTCATAAAACATCTCATATTTTCTCTTAAGGTGTTTCTCAATCTCTTGTTATCTCTAAATATCTTCTAGGGCAATGAATCTTTAAGAATTCCTTTTGCTTGTGTTTGATTCAATAAGTCGGCTAGTGTCACTCTAATCTAATTAAATGTCAATTTTGAATATCAAATGTAAATAGATTAGATGTCAATTTTGAATATCAAATGTAAACAAATTTAAACTGTCACATCAGTGCCCTAATCAAACGTTATATTAGAAAAATATATTTGGTTTCTAAAATATTGACAAAGTCATTTAGGAAAATAGATTCACTAGATTACATTAAAATTATGGAACTTTATAAATTGCCAACATGTTGACACATTCTATTAAAAAGAATCATTTCATAGAAAAAAACAAACTTATGGCATACTCCATGCCACTAGTCTTTTGCACATATTTTTTTCTGAATGTGATTATGTTAATATTTAAAATGACATTGAAGCAAGATTATACAACTATTTTTAAAAGAGTTTATAAACCATAAACTAATGTTGTAACTAACCTTAATTCTTAACCTCCAAGATATAAGTTTAGACTTTTCTACTCATGAATTAAATACATTAATTTTTCTTCTTCCTTACTCAAAACGAATCTTCAGTTTATTGACTTGACTTTACCATATATATGTTACACATCCTCTCTGGCATCCCCTCATTCTACTAAGTATTAATTTTTCTTTTTCCACGCCGGCAATAACGAACTTTACTTTGTTTTCTATTTAATATATTTTCTTCTTCACTTTGTTAATACCGTATGTATTAACCAGAATGGAAACTTGTTCTGAATATTTTGAAAATTTCACATGGAGAATTGAAGATTTCTCAACAAAGAATGGCATGAAACTAAAGTCCAAATACTTCAAAATCCGCGGTTACACATGGTACGTATATATCTTGTATCAATCGTCTGCTTCTCTGTACTTTGAGACAATAACTATAAGACAAAGTAACTCTATATTTTAGTTGAAGGAATTATCTTTAGCTTTTACTTTATTAATCATATCTTATATATGTCTTCTTCATGTGATAGGAGGATACTTGTTCATCCACTAAGGAAGGATGTTGATCATTTTACAATTTATCTAATGGTTGCTGATTCTTTACCACCATATGGATGGAATAGAAACACTTTTTTCAAGTTGGTTTTGATTAATCAACTTGATAAGAACAAGTCCATTGTAAAAGGTACCAACCTAAATCTTCATTTTCTCCTTATCAATAGAAAGTACATTGACTTTTAGGGTTTTGTAATTTCTATAGGTATATAGTCACACGATCAATAAATTAAGAACGTGCAATTAAGATCTGAAAGCTGATATTTGATCTTAATTGGATGATATTGGCTCTGATCATGTGACTTCATAGTTTTTATGACTGTATTGAATATGTATTTTAAGTTTTAGATTTCTCTACTTCTATTTTGAGATATTTTTCATGATAATATTATTTGTTGTTGGATTTAAAGATAACGTTTCATATGCATATTTGTTATTTTAGAGACTCAACAAAAGTTCAATGGAGGATATAGATGTTGGGGTTCATTTTTCATAAGTCTCAAAGACTTGAATGATCACAAACAAGGATATCTTGTAAGGGACACATGCATAATTGAAGCTCATATATGTGTCTCCAATTTTACACCCAAAATTCATGACATCAATTCTTTGAATCCTAATTCAACATATCAATCTTCAGATATAAAGGAAACAGTTTGTCCAAGAGCATCGTGTTCTACTTCTAGTCCAAGAGCATCGGGTTCTACTTTTAGTCCAAGAACATCAAGTTCGGATTTAACACTACGAGACTTTCTAGATTTGGAAAATTTAAAACCCGAAGAAAAATGTTTTATTCCACTTTTAGATGAAATTTGCACGTGGCGTCCGTCTTTGATTGAGAGTTTAATGAAAAAAACTCCTTTGTTTCGACAATGGGCTTTTACATCGTTAGGTCAAGTTTTGTATTTTCTTAAGACGAAGAAAGTGAAAGAAATGAATGAAGACGATATTGAGAAAATTAGAAGTTTGTGGGAGGAACTTGCGAAATCGTCTGAATTGGACTTGAGTTGGTTAGAACCTTATGTTCAATCTGCTTTAGGTGTGAAATCTCATATGGAAAGAGCAAAGAAGTTAAAGAAACTAAAGGATAAAGTTGTTGCTTTGGATATTAAAATGAAGAAGCTTAGGGATGAATTGACTGCTTCACAAGCACAGTATGAGATTGCAAGGAAAGGCTTATCAGAAGTAAGAAATGGTTTCCAAGAAATGAATATTAATGCTCCAATAGGTTATACTATGATCTAGTGATTAGTTTTGGATTAACAAATTAATTGAAATGTTTTAGTTTTAGAACATGATTATTATTTAAATTCTTTTGATGTAAAGGAAAAGTTTTAGGTGTACAAATATCATGGAGAAACACTATGTAGCTTTGTGTATGACATTTATTATTGTTTATTTTTTCCGTTTTTCTTTGTGTATATTAAAGTCTTGAGATAAGCAATAATTTATATGTAAATATATGCTTATTTTTTTTAAATATAATAAAAATAATATTTAAAAAATTAAATTGTTTAATAAAAAAATTATTATTTTTAAAAAATATAATAAATTAGTGCCTATAATTCATTTCGTAAGTACAAATATTTAAATCAACAATATATCTTTTATATATAAATTTTTTTTTTTACATTACTTATAAAAAATATTAGAACTAATAATAAACTTGGCAAAATATCCTTCTTGTTCCCTTAACTATACCTCGGGACTCATTTTGGTCCCTTAACTTTAAAAAGTTCCATATTGGTCCCTTAACTCTTCAAACGTTCCATATTAGTCCTTTTTGACCTATTAACAACGGAAAAAATCAAAAAATCGTCGCTAAATCCGTCGCTAATAGGTCAAAAAGGACTAATATGGAACATTTGAAGAGTTAAGGGACCAATATGGAACTTTTTAAAGTTAAGGGACCAAAATGAACCCCGAGGTATAGTTAAGGGACCAAGAAGGATATTTTGCCAATAAACTTTTTCTCATTATTATTCAATATTTTGATCAATAATTTCATGTTCATGTTATAATTGTTTTATTTTTGTGTTTTAATAAAGTTGTTCTCATTTATAACAATAATATTTTTTTCATTAATCTTTTTACGTATTTGAAAAAAATGATCGATACATTTATATTATTCACTATTTGGAACAATTAAAATTGTTCCCGTTTATAACAATGACATTTTTCCCATATATATAAATTAATTAATTAACAATGTAATTGATCCTGTATATGAATATTAAGTTTGTTTTGACATTACTTATACATTTGAATTTATATAAAAATATTTGAATCAACAATGTATTTTTGCTCATAAGTAAATATTATTTTTGTTCAATGACATACACTTTTATTTATATTTTATAATTTAATTTAATTAAAATTTTATAATTTCTTTAAACTAAAACTAATTTTTGATAGATGTCACAGTTACATATTAAATATACACGTTTCATTTTTTTTATTTACCCGAAATAACTTTGTTTTATATTTATTTTATTTATTCATATTTTTTAATCTCATTTACAAATTCATAATTTTTTTAATTACTTGCCATTTTTTTCTTTAGTCAATATTATTCATCACTACTTATTATGTTACATTTGTTCTATATATACCAGACTAGTCTAATCTCATTTACAATTTGAATCATTACTATATATATATTTTTATTTAATAGTATATAATTTATCCAATATAATATTTACTAATGATAGAACTTCATTTTAGCATTAAAGTTGATATGATTGAATTTATTGCGGTTGGAATAATTATTATTACCCATGTTGTACAATAAATTGTGTCTGATTAGTAAAAAAAAGATAGTAATCACCTCTAGTACACCTACTCTTATATGATAGTTGAAGCTAGCGAGAATATATCAGAGCGCATCGCACGCTTGATATACATTATAGTCGCCATCGAACTTAATTTATTCCAAAAGAAAAGGGAAAATATTGATAAAACCTAGGGAAAAGAGAAACGGGTAAGGGAGTCGGTTATGTGAGGGGAAGGTATTAACACCTTCACGCATCTGTCGTACTCGACGAAAACCATTATGCTTACTTCCAGGCTCGAATATGTGATCTATCTAAAGGCTACTCGCGAAAGAGGGAAGGAAAAGAGACAAAGAAAGCGCTCGCAGAAGATTGGGCCCTCATGTCTACGTATCCTCTTAGTGCAATGAGGAATTCAGAGCTCCGTAGTTCATGGAACCAAGGAAAGGAATGGAGAGAAGGTGGATCGCCAAGACTTTGCAATCTTATGCCATGTATCCTCATAGTGTAATGAAGAATTCAGAGTCTATGTGATTCAGAGAACTAAGGATGAAAAGAAGCAAATGAGTGATGTCAAAACCCAAAGAGAGGAGCAAGGAAATGGTGTCAAAACCAAGAGAGGGACAAGGAAATTGGGGCAAGGGTGTTTTAACTGAGATTATGTGGTTAACCTTATAAAAGGAAAGTTATTTTTACTAGGGAAATGAATAATTTGGTCTTTTAATTGATAGGCAGTGGTTACCTAAGGAAAAAAGGGACTCCACTGGGGGAAGGTGAAAATTGGAAATCAATCTTTTAACTGATAGACATTGATTAACCAGAGAAAAAGGTATTGAACCAAAAGAAGGTTTGAACCCAAAAGAAAGAGGGATGTTGGTCTTTTAACTGACAGGCAGTGGTTAACCAAAGAAAAATGTGCTTCAACCAAAAGGAGGTGTTTGACCCACTAGGGATTCGGCATTTTAACTGACGGACAGTGGTTAACTGAAGAGAAAGGATGGTTGGTCTTTTAATTGACAGGCAGTGGTTAACCAAGGAAAAGGGTGTTGAACCAAGAGGAGGTGTTAACCCAAAAAGGACTCGGTATGTTAACTGACGGACATTGGTTAACCAAAGCAAAGGGATTCGAACCAAGAGAAGGTTGCGACTTCGCTGGGGAAATAGAAAATTGGTCTTTTAACCGAAGGACGGTGATTAACCAAAGAAATGTGTATTTTAACCAAAGAGTGATTAACCCAACAGGAGAGAGGAAAATTGGTTTTTTAACTGACAGACAGTGGTTAACCAAGAAAAAGGGTGTTGAATTAAGAGAATGTTGCTAACCCAAATGGAAAGAGAAGACTGGGGTAGGAACAAGTGACTACCAAGGATCAACTCAAGAGACACCACAGTCTGGGGATAGAGGTGATTATTCTAGGTTCAGACTCAAACGTCCCTTACCTGAAATAGTCAGAATGAAAGTAAGAAAGACTTCATCCTCATTCCTTCCCTAGCATCTAAAGTGTAGTGCAGAAATTGAGATTGACAGGATGATGGTGCAATTTGTACATTGCTCCAGCTGATTGTGTAATCGTCCAGCTCGCACCAAAAGAATTGCTTCGGATCCAAGCTTGCACCAAAAATCCTTCAATAATCAGCTTTCAAGGCTTGAAATGAAAGGAATGTTGTTGTTACTGCAAAATTCAATAGTGAAATGGAGATGAACGAAAGCTTACCTCAAAGAATAACAAGCTTCAATGCAATGCTTTCTAAGATTTAATGGTGAATGAGCTTTTGTGAGGTTTAGGGAAGAAGATGAAGATGATTGAGAGAAAGTGTTGTAGAAAATTAAGAGAATGGAGAGTGAAAATTCAAAGAAAAATGAGAGAATGAAGGTTATGGCCAAGATCCAAGTGAAGATCCTCTCATCAATGGGAGGGGGTTTGCTTATATAGACCATAGTCTTGGAGTGAATGGAGGTTTGGAACTAGGTATGGAGATAGTTAAATGTGGCTTGACATTTGGTTTGAAGTTAGTTAGACCCAACTCACTGAGTTGGGGTCTAACTCAGTTAGTTATTAGTTGACTCTAAACGTCCCGTTTTATTTTAAATTATTGTTTGTAATTTAATTATGTGAAGTTGTGTGTTTAGATGTGATTATGTATGCTTTGTTATGATTGGGGTACCCTGCGGTAGAGGGTAGTGACCTTAATGTTGATGACCTTAAGGGTGATGGGTGTGTGGCTAATTTTGTAGAAATGAGTGGTGTGGTGAGAATGATTAATAAGTATTATTAGTAATAGTTGAGTAATATTATTAATTTAAATCATTAAGAGATAATGTTAATATTATTTAAGTTGTAAAATTTATTAGTAATAATAATATTGGAATTATAATAATATAAAAATATTAAGGTGAAAATAAGAATGAGGGACATAATTGACAATTGGGAGAATATTGAGGACATAATAGAGAGTTAAAGGAGTAAGTGAGCGCATAAGAGGCAAACTATAGAAATGGTCCTAGGGTTAAAGAAGTAAAACAAGGAAATAGATTTCATTCTGTACAATCTCGAATTTTGAGAAGAGCGGAAGAAAGGCTAGGGTTGAAGAAGAAGAGGGAACCACCATTTGTGAAGGTTTAAGAAGCTTAATTACAAGGCAAGGGTGGAGTTATGATCTTCTAAGGGTTAGTATGTTGAATAGTGGGTAAAAGTTAGGTTCTTACCTTATGGGTTGTGTGTTGTTCTATGATACGATTGTTGTGAAGTAATTGATGATGAAATTTTTTAATTCGTATGTGATGAATGATGATTTTTAATTGGTATGTGATGAATTTCGTTGCCTATATGTATGGTGTTTCAATTTTGGAATTGTTGAAAAGTTCCTCCATTGTTGAGTTTTGAAGTTTCGAGTCATAAATATGAAATTAATAATGATACGATGTTAGTACATGAGTAAAACATGGTATGATTGAGTTTTATGATGTTATTTTAGTATAAAATTGAGTCTATGATGATGGATTTTTGTAGCATAGGCTCTGGTATGAAAATCTGGTGTGAAAGTGCTTTTAAAAAAAGTGATTTTTGAGGTTCGGAACAACATGCGTTGACCTCCAGGGTCTTCTAGATCGACCTGATGCTTCCCGAATAAAATATTGTGAAAATTAAAACAACATGCATCAATGCACAAGCCTTCGCGTCGACCTGTATACCCTGCGCGTCGACCCTTGCTTTGACACATAGGCAGAAAAATGTCAAAAACGTTTTCGATCATAACATTTTAACTGTTTATCCAAATGACAAACCGTTCGATGCGTTGGAAAGCTAATGAGTACAAATTTAACATGCTATAATTATATGAACCATTTTTCTAGTATTTTTATGTTTAATATGTTGAGGAATGTAACTATTAATTGTTGCGTATGTTAAGAAGTCTTATTGAATGTGATGAAACTTGAATGTTGTTACAAAGAAGTTGTTGTAGTGTTACGGG